CTAGGATTAGCAGTTTTATTTATTTACAAGTACTATTTTGTGAAGCTGGTGGAACAGAGAGATAAGCAGCAACACTGAGGGACAATAAATAAATAGCTGAGACCATAACAAAAGCTGGGTCATGCTACAATCTGCAAAGTCAATACTGGGCAGCAAGAACCTGGGGGCTGACAGTTTCTCCTATAAATTCCATTTCAGAAAGGAGGCCACGCCAGGAAGTGAATTCTCTCTCACACCACTGAAGCATATTATCTTACAAAAACGCATTGTACCAACTTGCTGTTCAGTTACATACAAGGACAGCGAAGCAGACAAAACCTGAGGTAAGGCAGAACAATCCACTCGATTAAGTGCCTCAGGATCAAGGAAGCTTCTGAGTTAAAAACAGAAATGCCTGTTTGTATGAGAGACATCACCTTTTACAACTTAAGAGATAGGCTTAGGGTCATGGTGAAGTCTAGTTTGCAAAGTAGAAGTGACACTGGTTCCTACGTTGCCTGACGTGTGCAAAGACAGCAGCTACTGAGGGTCTCTAAGATCCTCCCTCAGGTCTCTCCTATTTGTACAATGCCTAGCAAAAAGGGACCCCAAATCCCAAGGGGTGCCCTGTGATGCTACTGCAATGTCAATTAACAACAGCAATGGTGACAAGATAGTTTCCTTTATCAGCAGTTTCCAAAGAGATGTTTCATCAGAGGCTTTCTGCAAAGGTAGCACTGCAGAGGCTGAATTCAAATGCCAACTATTAGGTTAAAACAAACCTTTCATGAATTTTAAAAGACAAATGCCAAGCAAGCTCTGGAATCCTACAGGCAGCAGCTCTCTGAAGCCCAGTGACAATATGCATACTCGATGCATGCATTTCATTCCCGAATAAATAGAAAGCCACTCCCCTAACTCACACTGCAGCCTCGGTGCGTGAAAGCTACTGGGACAATGCAGCACAATTGCATCATTGCCTGGAAAAACCTCAGCTGCAATTTCTGTTCACTGAAAGTTTCAGCTCTGCTCTCTCACAGCTGAACTGGCTGTTATGGAAGACAAGACAAAAAAAGAAGAGGTGTGTAAGCCATGGGCAGGATCTGTGGACTGTAGCTCAATTGCCCCATACAGCACTTAAATTGTGCAGCCCTCACACTGCTACATTGCTTTGCATTCAGGAGATGTATTCACCATCTGGGAACTGGCTAAGGAAAGATGAAAACGTTTTTCACATGCAGCACTTCCATTCATGGTCTCCATCCCACAGCAAGCCATTTGCATGTTTTCTGTTGTGTTAAAGAAGAAAACAGCATTACATTCTCTGCAGTAACGGAGGGGGGGGGGGGTCAAGTAAAGCAGGAACTAGTAACATCAACAATACAATATACCAGTGGTTCTCAAACTGTGGGCAGACACCACAAACTGGGACACGACCAGTATTCCCGGTAAGCGGAGTCTCAGGAGAGATTGAAATGTTGCTCACCCGATTAGCAGAGTGCCCAGTCTCCCAGGGCTGGCAGCAATTTCTATTGGTGGTGCACATCTGCACATGCCTCAGTGCACAAAAATATTCTGCACATGAATTGAAAAAAATTAGAGGGAAAATTGGTCATGACCCCATTGTAATGTAGTTGCCAGCACTGGCATTAAATTCTCTGGGGCCTGGGGCAGAAGCCCAAGGGCTTCTGCCCTGGGCAATGGGGCCCAGGTTGCAGGCTCTAGCTTTATTTTCCCACACCCCTGGGCAGCAGAGCTCAGCAGGGCAGCAGAGCTCACGTTTCAGCCCCTCTCCTGGACTTGTGTGCTAATTTTTGTTGCCCAAAGGAGGTCACATGGCAATGGAGTCTGAGAACTGCTGTTCTACAGAAACAGCCACAGAAGGTTTCTTAATCTTTTAGGCCATGGATGGGCAATAATTTTTGATATGGAGGGGCCACTGAAAAATTTTGGAAAGTGATCTGGGGCAGCATTTTTGTGTGGAGGTAGTGGGGGGGTCTACGATGGAGTTTGGGTGCAGAAGGGCGCACGGGCTAAGGAACTGGGGTGCAGGAGATGGTGTGAGGTCTGAAAGGGAGTTTGGGTGAAGGAGGGGATTGTAACCTGGGTCAGTGGATTGGGGTGCAGGAGAGGATTCTGGCTTGGGGGAGAGGTACAGAAGGGGGTACAGAGCCGGGGAGGGAGTTGTAACCTGGTGCAGAGGGTTTGGATAGTGATCTGGGGGAGAGAGTTGGGTGTGGGAGGGGATGGGGTGCCGGGGGCAAGCTTTGGCTGGGAGGCACTTACCTAAGCATCTCCCAGCCAGTAGCCCTACAGCACTCCAAAGCAGGCTGGGCTCCCTGCCTGCTGCAGCTCCAGACTACTTACTGCAGGGTGTTCTCTCCATGTGGCTCTCAGCTCCCAGAGGGGAAGAGGCTTACTCTGCCCCTCTCCCCCAGGTCAATCTCTCAGCTCTTATTGGCTGGTTGTTTCCAACCAGTGCCCAATAGGAGCTGAGGATTGAGCTGGGGTGGGGAGATCACACAAAGTCTCCCTCTCTCTCCAGAGCAGAGTGAAAGGGCACAGCCCTGCCCTTAAAACAGTGCCTGCTGTGTGCCTGTGGGTTCAAGGGCCGAAGTCGGTGCCTTGGTGGCTAAATGCCGCCCATGAGAGGTATCTTCCCCACCTGTGTTTTAGACCATGATTTTTAATATTAATGGAAAAAAGAGGTATAGATTACAATGACTCAAGATAACACCAGCGCAGGAAGCTTCTCAACCAAATCCTGAGTTGCACTTTTGCCATTCTGGTTCCCAGTCCCCCAACCACGGTGTATATGCACACACACAACTCTGCCAAAGCACCACAATCCTGGTTTCCTTCCTGACCATACGCCCCTTACTCCTCAAGCCTGAACCTCTCCTGAGTACAGGCTATCCTTATCCCCAACTATGCCAAAAACATTCCACCACTACAACAGGGCCACAAACTGAATAGCTTTCTAATGGACACATCAAAGCGTAGGAAGATGCTATATCACCCTTTTAACAACATTAGTGACTGTTCCGCCTTCTCATAGCCAAAGGCTTCTGCTTTGCATTAGAAAGCTAAGTGACAGCGTCAACTCACCCTACAACACCTTTAAACTTACGAGTTTTCTTCTACTTCATCCCTTGCTGTTTAGATTTGTATTAAGGGCCAACACTTTACTGGGAGATACTGTTTTGACACAGTGGGGCTTCCAACAAAGAAAGGAAAAAGGATCCTCACCGTCCAGTTCAAAGTCACTCCACAGAGTGCCTGATGAACAGTGGCTTTCAAAATTATAGTTCAAGATCCTCTGACAAGTAATAGATTTGCCAGAACAAAACAGAGAGAGAAAGACAGGCCTCAGTAGTAAAATGAGGTACCATACACTGCTGTAAGTAGCTACCAAGGGACATGGACACCACAGAAGAAAGAATGAATCCAGAAATCTTTGAAATCCATTCAAACTATGTGCAGTTCAAATTTCAAGGCAATTGAAGCTAAACTATTAAATAACCCCACCTACACTATACACAGAGTTAAATGACAAACACTTCTCCAACACATGCTAACTTATGCCAACCTTGTGTTTAGGGTTGCCAGATACTTTAAAAAAAAAAATACCAAACATGGTGGGGAAAAAATTGGTCGAGAGGAAAAAAACAAAACAGGGCACCAAAGTTGTTGAGCAAAAAAAAGGCATAAAAGAAAGAGGCACTGAGCCTCTAAATCCCCACGCTCACCGCTTTCCCCGCCAGACATGGCAGGGGGTGAATGTCCCAAGCAGACTTCTGTCAGAGAAAAACAGAATACACCAGATATTTTACATATCCAATATTTTCTGTTTTTTTTAAAACCGGACAGAAGCCGCAAATACTGGACTGTCTGGGCCAATACTGGATGCTTGGCAACCCTAATTGTATTATGTCCGTGCACAGTACATGGGAAGTAGGGAACTCCAAACACACGTGCATACAATACTGCTAGAGCCGCAGTCTATTAACAGCATTGCACTTGCAGCTTGTGAGCAATGTGCTCCACAATACCTAAACTATTTGTAAAAGTGACTTAGGAGCTACAGGTAATGTCTACACTACAGTCACAAAGTGGGACTAAAGCTTGTGTAAATATACACAAGCTAGTTTTAATCTAGCACCAACGTTGCAGCTATGTACACCTCAGCACAATCTAGCCCTGCAAGTAGCTATCCAGTGTTCTGGCTGACATATACAGCCTGAGCTAAAGCTAGTGCTGCCACAGTCCAGGTACCTAAAATAGCTAGATTAAAGCTAGCTCAAGATGTCTACACAAGCTGCAATCACACACCATGACTGCAGTATATCCTAGGTCTCATGAGTCAGTCAACTGGTTAAGTGAGCTTTACGGCCGGAGTTGATTTATATGCCAAGAGAGAAAACTGAGATCTTACATTCTTAATGAGACATGCCAAAGCTTTTGTATCAGAGAGCAATGGGTTTCCAGGCAGAAACTCTGGGCTGTCCACTTTATGACGTTCCTAGAATTATCAATAGGGGGCCTGATCAGAATGCAGAATTTTCTGAGTAGTCTTTAAGATGGAGGGTGGATGGTGTCATACTTATGCCTTAAATTCACTCACATGGTCTGCCTTGTGGACCAGCAGGGCACCCATAAGAATTTAAGCACTAAGTACAGGCATTTGTGTTTGTAAAACTTGAGTAACAGATGCTGGAAGGTAAATCACATTTGTAGCGGTTGTCCCCTACAGCAGCAGAGCTCATCTTGTTATAAGCTGAAAAAAAGATAAATGCTTCCCCTTATGTTAAAATACAGTTCTAGGTGAACAATAAAAATAGCATCATGGGGTCCCATGTTTATTGTCTCTCAATTGTTCAATATCAGAGGTGCTTTTTCTAACTGCCAGTCCTGTAAACTCAACCTGAAACCTGAGCCAAGCTGTGGTGTTCTTTTTTTTAATGCAACCTCATTTCCTTCATAATGTGCACAGGGACCAGCACCACTACCTGATCACCCACCTGGAATTTCCGGACCATTGCCTGACGGTTGTAGTAGGTTTGCTGGGCCTGCTGGGCTTTTTCTAGGTGCTCTCTTACAATGGGGGTTATCCGCGCGATCCTGTCCTTCATCTGCAGGACGTGCTCTACAATATTGTGTCCATGGTTTGTCTGCTCCTCCCAGGTCTCTTTGGCAAAGGTCTAGAAGGCCCCGGGGGTTTTGCCCACATAGCAGTTCAAATGGGGAAAAACCTGTGGATGCCTGTGGTACTTCTCGAATGGCAAACATGAGGCATGGGAGTAGGTAATCCCAATCTCTCCTGTCCCGACTCACTACCTTCCGGATCATGTCCTTGAAGGTGCGATTGAACCGCTGGACGAGGCCATCCGTCTGCGGGTGGTATACTGACGTCCTCAGAGCCCATATGTGGAGTAGTGCACACAGGTCCTTCATTAACTTACACGCACAAAGGGAGTACCCTGATCGGTTAGGATCTCCTTGGGTATCCCCACCCTTGAGAAAATTTGAACTAACTCCCTTGTTATTGTCTTAGAATGGGTATTTCCCCTGGATCTCTATTTGTACAGGGACAACAATAGTCCAGGACCACTAATATGTTCCGGTGTCCTCAGGCTGACTTTTCTAATGGGCTCACTAGGTCCATAGCGATGCGTTAAAAAGGGACCTCAATAATAGATAGGGGTATCATTGGGGCTCTCAAGTGTGGCTGGGGCCCATGAAGCTGGCATTCAGAGCAAGAGGCACAATAACGCCGAGCCTCCATATATATACCCCAGGCCAGTAGAACCTTCCTAAAATCTGATCTAGGGTCTTCTCAACTCCTAGGTGACCCCCCCAAATAAATGACTGTGTGCTAGGTCCAGCACAGCTCGCCGGTGATTCTGAGGCACCAAGAGCTGTTCCACCTCCTGTCCTGGGCCTGGCAGCACTCAGTATAGTAGATCCCTCTTGATAATGTAATAGGGTCTAGGGCCCTTGAGCCTTCCTTCTACACGGATCCAGTTTACTTCAACTACCTCTCTACGAATGTTTTGATACAGCGGGTTGTTGGCCTGGTCCTGTCCAAAATTTTCAAGCGAGGGCCCTACCTGCCTGAGCTTTGGGGAACCTTCAGCCTCTTTCATCCCAGGGGGCCCTGCTAAGCTAGGCCCAGCCTCCAGCTCGTTTACCTCTCTCAGTGCTTCATTATCAGTTGGCTCAGTTTCCCCCCGGGCCAGGGCCTGCCTTAGGTTCTGGGTCAGAATTCAAGTACCCAGTTTCTTGGCTGCCCTCCTTTTCTGCTTTGATTTCCGGGGTTTCCCAAGCTCAGAAAATAGGTCCTGGGAAAATTCATGAAAACTTGGGAGGGGGCTCTCTTCCTTTCCCTCAGTTGTAGGGAGCAGGTCACTAAATCCAGGGAAGTCCCACCCAATCACAACTGGGTATGGGAGCCTCGGAACTACCCCCACTGCAACCATTGTGACATTCCCCTGGATCTCTATTTGTACGGGGACAACAAGGTAATAATTGACATCTCCATGGACACAGGAGATCCCTGTGCGCTTGGCATGGGTCAGCTGGTCTGGTTCCATCAGCTGCCCAGAGACCAATGTAACGACGCTCCCTGAGTCCACCAAGGCCGTGGTCTCTATTCCATTCATCTTAACAGGTCGGGTGTACAGATGGGGGACCATTGCTATGCCTGCCAAATTTATGAGATTACAGGGGCCTCCCAGGGCATCCCCCTATTTCTTGGGCTACTGGGTTTTACCCCTGACCTTCCTGCCCCTGGTCCCCAAGTCCATTTACGGCCTCTGGCTGCTCTTCTGTCTCCCTCTTCCCCGGCTAAGTCTTACTCGAGGGTTTAGAGCCACAGGCCTTTGGGGCTAGTCCAAATATCTTGTCTCTCCAGACTGCTTTGCTGAGGGGTTGCAAAAGTCCTTTAGTCATTAATTGTCTTTCCATGAGGGCCACCATGTCGTCATATGAGAAGGGTTCATTCTGGCTGACCCAGGCTCACAGATCGGGTGGTAGGTCCCTCAAACCGGTCCAGGACAATAATTTCCACAATCTTCTCCGGGCTGTAGGTCTCCGGCTGCAACCATTTTAGGGCCAAGTAGATCAGGTCAAATAGTTGTGCCCTTGGTGCTCTGCCCTTCCCATAGTGCCACTCATGGAACCTTTGAGCTCTGATAGCAGTGGTTACTCCCGACCTGGCGAGGATCTCAGCCTTCAGCTGGGGATACTCAGTGGCAGCCTCCTCCGGCATGTCGAAATAGGCCTTCTGGGCCTCACCACACAGAAATGGGGCCAGGATGCTGGCCCACTGGGCTTGGGGCAACCTTCCTGAAGGGCTGTCCTCTCAAATGCCAGGAGGTACGCCTCCACATCGTCCTCCTTTGTCATTTTCTGGAGGAAACTGCTGGTCCGCAGGGACCGTGCTCCATCTGAGCCATGCACCTGAGTGGTCAGAGCCTTCATCTGCATTATTACCTCCTGCAAGGTGGCTCGATCTTGGGCAGCCTGGCTTATCAGCAGCTGGTTAGTTTCCAGCTGTAGTCGTACTGACTCCTGCTGGGCAGACATCTGAGCCCAGATAGCTTCTTGCTGTGCTGCAGTGGCTTGTATGAGGGCCTTTACTACATCCTCCATTTTGTTTTTCTCCCGTCTTACTAAGGTGGCCTAGTCTGTCTTGGATGGGTCTGCTGCAAGGTCTCCCCCTCACTCAATGGGTGAGTTCTTAAATAGGCCTCCAGGCAGCCTCACTTCTGGCACCACATGTAGCAGGGTCAGTCCCACTCCTGGGCTCCTGGCCCCTGTTTAGCCCACTGTCCCACAGTCTAGGAGTCAGAGTATATGGCTCACTCGCCTTGGTTTGAGATTCATTGTCTCCCTGTAGTCTTTAACAAGGTTGATGCAGTTCTCTTGGCTCCTCCAATGTCTTTCTCTCTCCAAACTCCTCCTCCACTCTCCAAATTCTTTCACAGCTCTCTCCACACTCCTTCTCAGCTCTCTCCCCCCTCACTCAATGGGTGAGTTCTTAAATAGGCCTCCAGGCAGCCCCAATTAGTTTTACCTGGGCCTGAATTGATTTTGCAGCCACCCTGTCTCAGCTGCCCTTAATTAGCCAGGATTGCTGACTCTCTCTGCCTCTTTCCCCTTCCATCAAGCTCTTTCACCTGCTGTATCACCCCTGCTCTGTCACTACTTTTTTTTTTTAATAAAGTACCCCCTTTAAAAATGATAATTATAAGAACCCCCAGTACCTACAGTTTTCAGACAAAATTTTTTTCTACCATTGCAACACATTTGTTTAAACAACTTAATCGTAGCCAGGTGGACAATGACATTTTTGGGTGTAAAAAGTACAAAAATAATAAAGCACTGTAAAACACAAAAATTCAGTTTTCTCCAAATTTCAGTTGTGTTGACGTACCCCCCAGACTTGTCTCGAGTACCACTAAGGGTACTCGTATCACTGGTTGAAAAACTGGTTTAGAACGAGGCATTCTATAGCACCTTAAAGACTATGGGTAAGTCTACATTGCACTCTTATTTCAAAATAAGCTATTATGGAAGAAATACTCTGAAATAGCTTATTTCAAAATACCACATCTACACTACAGGGAAACCTCAAAATTCGTCTGAGGTAGGCTTCCCTAATATGGATGTGCTACCTCAATTTAGAGCCCCAGGAGGCACTGGGGAATAATTAGTTTGATGGCCTGGGGAGAGGCTATTTCAAAATAGCAGCAGTGGAGCATCCACACTAGCTATTTTGGAAGAGCAGTATTTTGGAATAAGCATTATTCCTCAGGGAATGAGGTTTACAGAAGTCAGAACAAGGTGTCTTATTTCAAATTTATTTTGAAATAGAATTATTGCATTGATGTTTGCATTGTTATTTTGGAATAACACCCATTATTCAGAACTAACGCTGCTGTGTAGACGCACCCTGCCCGATTTATTTGGGCATAAGTTTTCATGGGCAAAGACTTATTTTGTCTTCATCAGATGCCCACAAAAGCTTATGCCCAAATAAATCTGTTAGTCTTTAAGGTGGTACAGGACTCCTCATTGTTTCTGCAGAAACAGACAAACATGGCTACCCCTCTGATACTTGTCACAAGGTGAGTGAAGTAATAGCTTTTTCCTGGACCAACTTGGACAGAAGATACTACCTCACCCAGCTGGTCATTCTAATATCTTGGGACTAATATCTATATCACCACCACTAGGGATGTAAAAGCCCAGTTAACTAGTTAAATGTTACATTAAACTCACATTTAACCAGTTAACCAATTGAAGTGGAATCCGGGCTGGGGACCACTCCAACTCAGCTGGAGCAGCCCCACAGCCCACGGGGCTCCCACCCCCCAGTCCCACACTGGGGCTGGCTGCCAGCTCCAGCACTGCCTGGGGCATCCTGGCTGCCCATGGACAGAGGCTACTCTGGAAAAGAGCAAACCTCCACTGATGACTGGTTAGCTGGAAGCATCATCCAAACACTCAATTCTGTTGCTGATGCCTTAGCAGCTCACATTGCGGGCAACAAGAGTACAAAGCAGCCAAAGCTTGTTTGTCAGTGAAGTCAGCAGCTCCAACAAAAAAATACACATAGGAAGCAGATCTGTTGAGTAAAAGGGGCCCATTTTTACACAGTCCATTTCCAGAACAGTTCATTCCTAATGCTACTGCAATACTCAGTCCTGCATTACACCCTCGTGGGACCAGGAATATTTTAACCAGAAAAAAAAAAAGCTCTTTCTAAAGATAAATGATGCAACTAATCAGTTACAAAACCACCTGATCCCTTGCCCCTCCAGTGGCATGAATCCAACTATGTGCTTTGTGTATCTGGATGTCTTTGCATCCACACTAAAAATAAAAGCAGCTTGGCAAACAACTAATCAATAACTTTGTTCTGCATTTTCAAACATAATGATAAATCAACTCCAGCCTTAAAGCTCACATAACCTTCCTAACCAGAGTCAGTTATTCTTGCTGGGGAACTCCCTTACTTTTTGAAACAGGTAAATCACTTGATGTCTATTTCCTAAAGTAGCTTATTTTATTAAGCTATGCTAGTATGCCCAGTGTCCTTATGTGTTATGCAGGTGCCCTGTGAAGGACGCCAGACCATCACCACCCAGTTGAAACACCAGAAGTACAACCCTTCCATTTTTGTGAGTCTAACACTAAAAATATTAACCTGTCAGAGGTGATGAAGAAAGTCCTTTTTCTTCAACAGCTGAAGTGCTCTGCTGTCTCCTGCCTCATAGTGTAGTGGGGTAGGAACTGAATGAGGGCTGGTTTCAAAACAGCATCTGAATGCTACAATGATGAGCATACTACTAATACTTGAGGGATTGACAGCATTGCTGATGTCACAACACATGAAGAAAAGTAGCAATACTATTGGATAATGTGTTCAAAGGTCATCCGTTGGGCCAGCAAGCACAAACTGTTGCATCAGTTTTAAAAAAGTGTAAGAAGATCGTTACATCAATATAAACCTTGAGCTATGTTCTTGAAAAGGTGTATACATTGGGTTAGTCATCCCCACGCTATATTTTATGCCCTGTCATTCCTGAGCACAGTGCACCCCTATTAAAAATGTGAAATACAGTTCAATTTCACCACTGCCTAACTCCTACCCAGTGTAGGAATGTCTGCTTTTTCAAGCTCTTAAACAAGGCTTGGATTTCATATAGTACAACAACTATGCACTCCAAGCCACCCAATCATCATCCTTCTGCACTTATACATTCCACCTTTCATCCAGAAAGATCACAGAATGCTTTACTAACTACACATATGCAAAGAAACCAATCCCACAGCAGCTACCACCAGAATGTAATGTGGGAGCTGTTCAGTGTTGCTGTGCATTGTTAAAACAGGACAAGAAAAAATGAACATAGTGCCATCCCCATCAAACAGCAGGAAGAAGAGAAGATGGCAGAAAAGAATTGCCTGTGTGGAACCTGGCTAGAACGCACAGGCTAGCACACATTACACTACTGTTCTCGTCTGAAAAGAGAGGCTCTAATCTTAGGAACTTTGTCCATGGCATCACAGTGGAGCACTGGTTCAATACCGACCAGGTAAGGATGCTACCTACTGAGTCAGCTATTCGCAACTCTCTACCATGGACTTCTCTGTAAAACATCGCATGTGACAATTATAGAAAAAAAATTGAGATCATACTTTACTGTCTCCTGTGGGTTGAGGAGATATTTAATTTGTACAGGACTTTGAGATACTCACTAGTCTGACGGAGGACACTACAGAAATAGTAAAAAATACCAACAAAACACAAACTTAAATGAGTGGTCCTGTACCACCTTAGAGACTAACACAAAATTTACATTTATATGCAGCCTCTTGCGCCATTCATCTGAAGAAGCGGGCTGTGCTCATGAAAGCGCATGATACTAATATATATGGGGTAGGCAAGATACCTCCTCGCAGCCACCGGATCTAGCCCCCAGACATCCAGCCAGGACCCTTAGGCACGCAGCAGCTGCTGTTTTAAGCACAGGGCTATGTCGTGTGATTCCCTGCTCTGGAGGGAAGGGGAGGCTTTGTGTGGTGTCCCCAACCCCAGCCCAATTCCCAGCTGCTCTTGGCCAGAAACAACCCATCAATAGGAGCTGAGAGAGATTGGCATGGGGGAGGAGAGCAGTGTAACCCTCTCCCCCTCTCAGAGTTGAGAGCCAGAGAGAGAGAACAGCCTGCAGTTTTAAGCAGTCTGGGGCTGCATCAGGCAGGGAACCCAGGCGTGCCATGAGGATGCTTCAGGAATGCTGGCTGGGGGATGCTTAGGTAAGCACCTCCCAGCCAAAACGTGCCTCTGGTACCCCGTACCTCCCACACCCCGATTCCCTCCCCCAGGTCACCATCCAAACCCTCTGCACTGCCATGCCCCAGGTCACAATTCCCTCCCAGAGAGAATTGTGTACTCCTTCCTACACCCCTGCCCTAGGCCAGACTCCTCTCCTGCATCCTGACCCCCTCCCAGACCCTGCACCCAAATCCCCTGCCCTAGGTCATAACCAGCACCTTCACCCAAACTCCCTCTCAGGCCTCACCATCTCATGCACCCCAGTCCTTTAGCCTGTGTGCCCTTCTGCACCATCCTAGACCCCACACCTCATTCACAGAGAAGTGTGGCTCTTGACCACTTTCCAAAGTCTTGGGGAGTGGCCCCCACCAAAAATTATTGCCCACCTCTGCTCTAAGGTGCTACAGGACCACTCCTTTTTAAAGTTTTTTTAGGTTACAGACCAACATGGCTACCCCTCTGAGACTACAGAAATAGTACGTTTGACTATCCCTACTCTGGATGTCCCTAATCCACGAGTGTCCATGTTACTGAGGAGGCAGCGGGTCTGCACACTGCCACTTCCTCTACCCCACAGCTGGGGGGGAACAGCAGCATGCCGAACTGCTTCCCCTGAGGCTTCTCCCTGCCACTCCCACAGCAGAGTCTGGGAGCAGTGCGGGGCACGGAGCCACAGGCAGCACCCCACCCCCACCTCCAACACCCAGACCCGTAGTGCCTTCACTGGCCCAACAAAATTTTTACCTTGTTTTCCAGGATTGCCAGATCAAAGTTCAAGTGTGTAACATTTTACCTGAAACTCAGCCCTGACAATTTACAAGTATGAAGCAGTGAACACACACAAAAGGTAATGACAGAGATTTGCCTTGTTCACTGTGAATATCAAGTGACATGCTTTCACATGCCTTGTGTTCTCCCACTACACACTAGGCCAAAGTCTCCTTTTTCAATTCCTGGTTTTAAAGCTGTCTGACTACGTATATTCCATAATATAACTATCAGCTTTAGGCTGGCTCACTGTTGATATGCACTCACTATGGTCCTGCCAGAGAGTTTTTATACCTCTTATCAAAAATGATCTCGTTTGGTGTATATTATACTGCTACACATATGGGTATCATGGATTCATGCTTAGAGCAGAGCCATTCTCGTCCTCCTTGCGACACCAGCTTTGTTTCCACTTGATTAATCAGTGCATATTCATTTCTCGTTTGTCCTGTAAGGAACTTGATGGTGTGTCAGGCCACAGTGCATGCACAGAGATGCCAACAAATGAGGGGAAACATTTTTTTTTTTTTTTTTTTAAGGATACTGACGCCACAGTCATTAAGAGAACCACGTGCTATTTGTGACTTTCTGTAGCAAAGACTCAAGGTCTGATGTAGCTGATCAGCCTTCATTGTGCACATTTGCGATAGAGCTGTTCCGTTATTGGCCAGATTCAGGTGGTTGCTGCTCCATGCTTCAGATGGACCCGGGGCGTGGTGGCAGTGCTACTGGCCCCACTCCACTGGTGTTGTTCAGAAGAGGAGGGGTCAAGAGCTGGGAGAGAAGAGGCAGAGTGGGGGTAGGACAGGGGCCAAGCAGAGGAGGGGGTTGTCCTGGGCCCTGCCCCCCTCCGAGGACAGCCTTATTATGTATTAAATTACATGCATATAACAAACAAACAGTCTCCCCCTTGAGCACAGGGTCTCACACTGAACGAATAAGAGGAAAGGCTGCCATGCTTTGGAATAGATTTCAGTGTCACTGCAGTCCTGCACTCCTTTATCAACTTCTCTAGGACTACAGGAAACTCTTGAGATGTGACTGACCAAGTTGCGACCACCCGCACTTATAACAATTTCTGTAAGTGTGGAAGGGGCCGAAAACCCACAACATACATCCTCAGCCCATATTTATGACAGCGAACAACGCCCATCATAAATGAGGGTCCAAGTTACGATGCCCTCGACTTGCAACTCTTCCCAGGAACTGATAACGTTGCAAGTCAGGGGCCACCTGTATGTAGTTGGCTCCCAAAGAGCACTCATTTGCAGCACCGATTTAATCAGTCCTCAGACTTGTCCTGAAGGTTCCAAGGTGAGTGGAATGTTTGGCTACACAAAGCACTTCAGCTCACATGGTTTAAGCAGCTGGCAAGGTTGCCAAAGAAAACTAAGGCAGCTCCCAAAGTCTCCTGATACCTGAGACTGTTTTGATCAACTAAACACAAGCCGCCAAGTGCCTTTGGCTGCTCCTTGCCTTTTTTTGGGGGGTGGGGGGAGAATTCAACCAGGTTTAAATCAGAGGATGACATCAAATGGGGGGTGGAGGGTTTGCAAATACAGAAGACAATAGAACTGCAATGTGAAGGGGCTACTACAGGTTGCACCTATAAACCGGGACACTGGTCTGCAGGACCAGTTCTAGGATCAGAGACCTGGCTTGCTGCAGGGGTGAAGGGAGCTGGCACATGGCCCAGCTGGGCTGCAGGGAGAGCCAAGAAGCCCAGCACATGGCCCAACTGAGCTGTGGAGGAAGGGGTAGGAATCCCAGAGTGCACCCACCTGGACTGCCTGGGGAAAGTTCAGGAGGGGTAGAAAGCTAGGTGTGTTACCCAGCTGGGCTGCAGGGAGAGCTAAGAAGCCCAGTGGAGTGGCAGAGCAGGGGGTGGGGCCAGAAACGACCTCCCCTGGTCTGACAAAACCCCTCATCCAGGCCCAATCAGGTCCTGAGGGTGCCAGACCAGGGAGGTCCAACCTTTACAAGAGTGAAGCTGGCAGCAATGTTAACATTTATTTCTACATCTAGAGAGGAGGGATATATGCATAAGTAGCCTTCCCACCCCAACTGAACATTAAGATGTAAAAAGTGGACGCTAACAACAGGTCTGAAGATTTCTGGCTACTGGAACAGAAGGCTGAGGTTTGGATTTCCCTGCTAGTAATCTCCACAGATCTCTAGATGCTTACCACCTCACAAACCCTCCTTCACAGCAGGAGTCAGCATAAAGTGAGGCAAAGCAGACAAACTAGAAAGACGGGACATCAAACTAAGGATGTTAAATTGCAGTTATCTGACTAATCATGTAGTTGATACAAATTGTATCAACTATGCAGTTGGACCGCTCTGCAGAACTGCAGATAGGGTAGCTCCTGAAGCCAGCTGGAGCCAGGACTGGTCAGCTGCCAGGCTCTTACTACATTTAAAATGTGTCCCAGACCACTGTGAAAAGGGGATGCTTGACTCCCTGCTGGGACCCCCCCCCATGGACAGAGGTGCTGCCAGAGCAGCCTCCACTATATACCCTCCTGCAGCAGCTCCCCACTCATTTAAGCGATTACTCAAACTTAACATTCAACCAGTTGACTGATTAAATGGTATTTACATCCCTAGTGAGGACAGTGGTTTGTTCCCTCGCAAGTCAATGTGGCACTACAAGCTGATGAGATACAGAATATGCAGTTAAGAAATTCCATCCTTTAATCTGTTCAGTCTAGTGATCGATTACATAGGTTGCCCAATGTATTACTACAATCCAAGAGATACCTATACATGGTCAGTTTTACTAGGTAAAACAAGTCATTTGCCTGCCTCAGCCCCTCCTCCCTCCCAACTGATTCTGGACAGTTCAACAAAATTGCTAACAAGGTTCTGATGCGTGATGCATAACTGGAAACGGAGCTCTGCTACAGCTTGGATTTGACAGCACTGACAGAACTAAAAATAGCCCTTGTTTGTGTTAATAAACTAAGTAGGTAAAACCAGGAGATACACACAGGGAATAGGACATGAACAGTGAGACTGCAAAGAAATAAGGTTATGTTGCACAGAAATGAGTATGTTTAGGGAGATTTAACAGATAAGATTATCATGGGTGTAGCAAAAAATGGGGATGTGAAAGCATAACAATGTACACAATTAACTAATGAGCCTGGGCTCATTGATTAACATGCATGGTTACATGCAGCCCCTTCTTCCCCCCACCCCTCTGCACTGCTGCCTCTGATTTAGAGGCAGCAGCACAGGGAGAAGTGGGGGTAGGCAGGAACCGGGGCACCTCCCCTCTCCCACACTCCTAAATGCTGAAAATGTTAGCAGTTACATGTTTACTCGCATAAACGCATTGTAATATCCCCAGTAAAAAGTGATCTGCTTCTCCCGTTATGCTGGCTCAGAATGAGAACAAGGGATTACTAAATTAATAGATAATACAGAGATGAAAAGAAATCGTTCTTCAAGTTGACTTATAAAGTGGAAGAAATGGATGTGTTTCCCCTTGTTTCTTTATGATATAAAGTCTCTTAGAACTCTTTCACTGTCATTGTAGATTAAATAAAATCAAGTCTGCCTTAGTTTTACTGGAGGTCTCCTTGAAGGGCTCAATTTTCAAAATGATCTGGACAAACGAAAGAAATTGTCTGAGATAAATAGAATGAAGTTTAATAAGGACAAATGCAAAGTACTCCACTGAGGAAGGAACAATCTATTTTACACATACAGCATGGGAAGCAACTATCTAGGAAGTAGTACTGCAGAAAGGAATCTAGGGGGGTCATAGTGGACCAGAATCTAAACATGAGTCAGCATTGTGACACCTGCAAAAAAGCAAACGTGATTCAGGGATGCATCAACAGGAATGTTGTGAGCAATACACAAGTCGTCATTCTTCTGTTCTACTCTGCGCTGTTTAGGGGATATTAAATATCAGTTAACTGAATAGTCAAGTAACCTCATGAATTCTTATCAGTTAGTCAACTATTCTATATCGCCCGGGGATGGCAGCCAGTGCACTCCGGCCCAACTCTGGAGGAGGCCCCTGCCACTCCATGCTGCTGCCTCAGTATCAGAGGCTGCAGCGTGGGGTGCCAGGTGGGAGCGAGTTTAAAAAACAGCTTCCCTCACTGGACCTGGTGAGAGCTGGGACTGAGCCGGGCTGCCTGCCCGCCTAGCTTCTAATACACTTTAAATGCAGAGCTGCAGTGGGGGTAGGTTCCAGACCTGTCGCAAGCCAGGACTGAGCTGGGCTGCTAGTCAGCCTGCTAAAAATGTACTGGCAAGAGTGGGGGAGGGAAATGTGTGTAGTGTATAGCATTAATCAATAAGCTTTGGAAATATTCAAGCATCCGAATCAGTATGGAAGATCTCAAACTAACAGGAGGAGACAGTACAAGTGGATATTAAGCTGCGTATGTAAAGTGTTTGCCAGTTCAAAGTTTTTAGGTCAAAGTTCAAAGCAGCAGAACATGGAAATAATTAACAAATTTCATAAATTTTTAGAGAAGACTTTGTGGAATGAAGCTTGGACTGGTGTGTAATATATTCCAGGGGCACTGTCAACCACTGTGTGAACTAATTTCTTTAGCTATTTATTATACCATCTTAAAGAGCGGTGGAAGATTTTTAAACCAAATGTTCTAGGTGAATTTACACTTGTTTACCTTTTGCATTTCTCCAACATGATCACCTAAATGCAAAGTCACTTTCACCTTGAGGCTCTTAATCTTGCAAAATTTGATTTCCAATCACAATACTACAATGGATTTTTTTTAAAATTAACATTCTGCTTTATTGTTCATATGGCTGTATAAACAAAAATTTTAAAATATATAAATGTGGGGCAAATTTTAATGGATATGGTAAGGAAAATTTCTCCTCTGTTTATAAGAAAAACTTAAACAATGAATAGTCTAGCAGCACCTTAAAGACTAACAAAACATGTAGATGGTATCATGAGTTTTTGTGGGTACAACCCACTTCTTCAGATGAATGGAATATTAAAAGTCCAGTTCCCATTTCCTGTTTATTTCAGGAGAGGGGAAGAAAGGGGGGGGGGGGAATAGTGAATTAAAGCGTTCATGTTACATGAAGCTGATAAAGACGGTACAAATTGTTCTTACGTACCCCCTGTTTGGTTGGTTAAGTCTTTAGGATGCAGAAGGTAGGTATCCAGGTAATTCATACTTTTGTGATGAGTCCCAAACTTGTAAATGAAGTTATGTTCCAACGCTTCTCTGTGTCTTTGGCTTGTGGAATTGGCCTGAAACAACAGGGCGACTTTGAGATCCATTAATGAGTGCCTTGGCAGGTTAAAGTGTTCTCCAACAGGTTTCTGCGTGTTGCCTTTTCGGATATCTAATTTGTGTCGATTAATCCTTTCCTAGTTTTGGCCAATATACATGGCAGAGGGGCGTTGCTGGCATAGATCACATTAGTGGATGTGCAGTTAAACGAGCCTCTGATCACAGAACACTAGAACTGGAAGGGACGTCGAGAGGTCAGCGAGTCCATTCTCCTGCCCTCATGGCAGGACCCAGTACCATCTAAATCATAGGTTCCCAAACGGAGGGG